TAATTTTTATTTGTTCGAAGGTTTAGTCGAATTTCTTTATTCTAAGAATAGTAGTACGAAATTTATAAATCTTCTGAATCAAAGTTACGTGTGTAACACATTATAAAGTATTTTATATAAGGGTTAGACAATTTAAAATAATTTTTTATAATCATGATCATAAATGTATGAATAATTTTAACTAAATCCAACCCTAGCATAATTTAATAGATGAGACAAATATTATTAAGGGTAGGTGATTCAACGTTTTACCACTGCAGTTGTTGACTAAAAAACAATTAATCAGCTGAAATTTGCCAAAATTTTCCCCTAGGAGCAATGAACTTTGAAAGCAAAGAAAGGAGATGACCTACACGTGGCAGTGCAGATAAAAAAAAAGAAAATCAAACATAAAAGAGGAAAGAGAATGACAGATAAATTAGAATTTAAATGCGACATAATTAGTACCTTCCCCATTCGGTAATCGTTTCGCCTAAAAAAACCCATTTTACTAACCCAATTATTCTAATTTTAGCAACCCCACTACCTCACCATTGCCGATTACGACGTTTCAATGTGCCCTATCCGGTTGCAGGTAATCTTAATATCCCCACTTCCAGCTGTACTCAGAGTCTTTACGCCTGCCAATCCCAACCTGCCACGTCAGAAAAGTTAGGACTTGAATTAAATTTTCTGCTAGTTACAAAAATTAGGTTAAATTATTGAGTTTTTCTCTACCAATTTTGGCTAAACAGTAAACTGTTTTTCTTTCCCTCTAAAAACCGGCATTTTCCTCTTACTTTTTACTCAACCTAAAACTTTAATACAGTCGACTGAAACAATCAGCTAAATAATAAAAATATTAGTTCATTTTTCATCTAAATAATAATATGTCACATATTTAACAGGACAACGAGGCAGAAGATTTGTGAAGTTAGAGGAACAAAATTGAAAACTAAACTTTTATTATAAAATAAAATTGAAACTGAGCTCAAATTATAGGGACTAAATTGATAATTTGACTTAGAAGAAATTATCATTATAAATATTAAAATCACTGCTTAATAACTTGTGATGCCATTTAATAAGTCATGATTTTCAAAAAAAAAAAAAGTAAAGTAAAGGATATATCAGTAGAACAATAGTTAAGATCAGTTATATAATTATTTTAATTTTAATTAAACTGTAAAATTATAAATGATGTTCCTGCAATGCCTGGG